AAGATATTTTGTTATTTTTGTGCATCCGTGCGTGCGCGTCGGTTGTCTGTGTTTATCGACAATTTTTCGAACATTCCGACAGGCCATTATGAACGGTGTGTGTTTGTGTGTGTGAGAAAGATTGTCTCTTCCCCGAGTGCTCTGTGTTTGCTAACGTATTATCTGACCACATGCCGGTGGTGATCTTGTTGTCCGTGTGTTTGTTCATCTGCTGTACTGTGTCCGTACGTCTGTGTGTGTGTGTTGGTAGTGGGTAACCCGGCGACCCGAGTTCGATTCCCGCTCACGGCCAACACACAGTGACTATTATCTGAACCGGTCCTGGACCTTTCCTTGGTCGACTCAGCCTCAAAATGAGTGCCTAGTGCTGTGTGTAAACATCGCAACTAGGGAGACAAAGGCGGTCGGGTGTGGTGCTGGCCACCCACCCCCTCCTGTGTCAAGCCGGCTTTCATAGGTGCTCGCTAACAGCACTTGCCCCAACAGTCTTTGTTTGCTGGTTGAGCCGAGTTCAATTCCCGCTCATGGCCAACAACACCAGTAACGATGAACTGAACCGGTCCTAGACCTCCTGCCCTAGGTCGACTCAGCCTAAAATGAGCAACTGGTGTGGTGTGTAAACATCACCCACTGGGGAGAGACAAAGGCGGCCGGGCGTGGTGTTGACCAAAGTCGCTCGCGAACAGCACTGTCCCTGACAGCGTGCTCAGGCTAAAGGGGGGTGGGGTGGCATCTTTCTCTTTAAAAATCTATTCATTTCTCCATCCGTGTACGAATTATAGTCACCTGCTCATCGATCTCGAAATAGCTTCATCCGCTTTGTCAGCGCGTCCATCTGTCCTTCTCTCCGCCCGTCCCATCCACGTGCACCCCGGTGAGCCCGCAACCCTCCCCCCCCGGCCCCCCACGCCACCCCACCACCACCACCGCCGCCGACGCCGCCGCCGCCACCTCGCCCGCATGTGGAAGATGCGTTGCTAGCAAACATCTTGAACGCGCCACTCGTCGGGCCTCGCGCAAAACAGCAACCGTCTCAATTTTTTCCGCGAAATTTATTTATTCAAAGGCCCTCTCGCGTGACTCAAACCGACCCAGCCAGCCAGCCAGCCGCCCTACCCACCCACCAATCCTCCCACCCTCTAATGCCCCCCCCAACCAACCACCCACCCACCACCACCCCCGCTTCTCCTCACCCATCCTCGGAAACCCACCCACGTATCGACACACGTGCCCTAATTTCACCCTGAATTTCAGCTCATTGCTCCCAATCCAATTAACGCAGCGTTGCGGTTCTCCCTCGACAAATAATTCCATTAGCTCTTTATTCACAAACTCCCCCCCCCGCCGCCTCCCCCGTCGAACTCTGGCCCATTGTGGTTGCCATTGTTTAAGTTTCCTTTTCACTTTCATGTCATTTCTCCCCTAATTCCAGTCGGCGGCTGAAAGGAGCGGTGGGCTCGGCGGTTAGCGCCGGCGCTTGCACTGCGCCGCGGGGCGGAACCGAGGCTCCCGGTGGGTTCTGATTCTGATCCTGGAGTTCCCGGGCCGCGGCGAACGCGAGCGGCGGGTTAACCTGCGCTCTCGTGGGGGTTTATCGGCCACGATGTCCGACGTTTCGCTCCGCGTTGCCCGGGGGCTTCTTCCGCGAAAACCGTCGCGCGGTTGTCAGTGGCGAGTGATGTCCGACCCCCCCCCCGTCCTGGTGAAGTATGGTCAAATAACTGGTGACCGACACTGCCTGGGGAGGCCTTCATTCACCAGTGAATTGACAAAGTGCTGAACATCATCACCTCTTCCTCCCTCCTCCTCCTCCTCCTCGCAGAAATGTTTCATCTTCAGTTTTGTTCCACGGCATCTACACAATGACCCGTTTGACCCGGGACTGGAACCCCCCGTATCTTGGGAGGTTTTGGCTCAGTTCCTGACACACGCGTAAACATTCTGGCAGGGCAGCTTCCCAGGAACAAGCCTCCACGAGACTTTCTTTTTTCATTTCCCAGGGTCTCAATCACATTCAGACGGTCAGTCCGTGTCTCTCTCCCGCACAGGAGGGAATCGCTCAGGATAGTTTGGCTTCTTGCCCCGACACTGACAATCAGCCCCCACCGAGACAGCGCCCGTCTGACCGTTTCGCAATGTTAACACGTCAAGAGCAGGGCCTACGTGTCAGCCGGTTCTCAAAATATATATCGCACCCGGCACACCACGTCAAGTGCCCGGTGTCCGTCTCTCGCGCTGTGGCTTTGTCCGCAACGAGTCACTTGCCACCTATTCCAGTCTACTAGAAAACATTGTCACATGCGGCATCCAGGCTGACTGTGGCTATCGCGAGTCACGTGTTGCCTGCTCCGGTATATGCACGTTGAACTTCCTTCGCACCGTACGTAGCCAACCGTGCTAATCTGGAGCTGAGAAAATCGAGAGGTTCGTGAGGTGCTTTTGATGCAAGGTCGGTGGATCACGTGGAGATATGCGCCACGCTTCCAAATTCAATGTCATGTGGTTCAGGTTGATTGACGATCCAGCGCTGGGTGATTCACTCCGCTCGATCAACGGCAGCCGCTCGCTTCCTTAATCTCTCTTCCGTCGCTACTCACCGCGGTAAACTTACCGTGCATTTCGCTCGTTAGCTACCCCACATTCCAACGGGTGGAGTGGTGGCAGCGGTCAGCGACGACACCTGCGGAAACTAGCGTGGTGAAGTATGGTCAAACAGACGCTCACGGCGAGATAGGGCACGGAGAGGTCATCATCCAATCTAGATTTAGGTCATCATCCAGCAGTGGATCGGCAAGGATGGGGGAGGGGGCGGGCGGGCGGGGGGGGGGGCTGCTGTACATTGCGCGTGAATTTCTCACTCGATAGTTTTTTTCCGGAATGTTGCTGGACTGCCTTGGATGAGTGATCGTCGGCGTAAGGCACTACCACTGGAGTACAAGGTCAGGCTTTCCATCGCAAATACTTTGACTCAACGAGGACTAAATAAGGCGAGATGAATGTGGCGTAGCCAACATAATTCCTGGAACAGAAATTGAAAGCCCTCGATACATGCAAGCGCACGCGTACACCAACACCAACACCACCAGCATCAGCAGCAGCTGGCAATGCGATATAATCGAGAGAGAAAGCGAGCTGCTCAATACAGTTCCCGAAGGAGCTCCTAGCGGCGTGGAGCGGAACGTCGGACATCGTGCCGAACGACGCGCGGTGACAACACAACAACACGCAACCGCGCAACGCTACGATTTGGCTCGTACTTTTTTTTGGGTGTCCGCTGCTGTGGGGTGCAGATTCTCAGACTGCGAGTCTCTCATGCTGCCTTTGTTTACATCTTAAGCCCCCGCCTCCCTCCCTCCCTCCCCAATCAATCATTCTCTCTCTCTCTCTGCGGTGGAGCGTTCGCTCGCTCGCTCGCTCTGTGTGTGCGAGGGCTCTGGGGGTCAGCCCTGTCTGTGTGTGACCTGCGACTCTCTGTGTGTGTGTGTGCATGCGCAAAGCCTTCGTTAGCCCAGTGGCATCTCGGCCCACGCACCGACACAACATCCACCATCTGTTGCTGACTGCGCTCCGCGTCTGTGTGTCCGTGCGTGGCGTAGCGGTCCGAACTTTGGCGACCCTGGGTTCGAATCCTGCTCCCCGCCAGCACCAGTGACGATTATTTGAAACCGGTCCTGGACCCACCCCGAGGTCGACTCAACCTCAAATTTGTACCTGGTGTGGTGTGTAAGCATTGGCAATAGAGCGAGGTGCTGGACACCCACCCGCTCGTGTGCCGTGCTGGCCTTCAAAGGGGCTCGCTAACAGAACTTGTCCCAACATTTTGTACAGGCTACATGGGGGAGCTTTGCTTCGTCTGTCTTCAGATCAGTCGAGCGCCGTTATATTTTCTTCGGCTGTGTTACGCCGTGTGGAAGCTGCCTACCCTATTGCTGCCCCAATATTTAAATATGCTCAAAATGTCCCCCCCAATATATTGCTATAAAATAGATTTCTGTATATATATATGATTGTGGTTATGGTTGTACTTTATTAATCCCTAATCTCTGCCATTACATACAATGAAACAAGAAAAGGTAAAAAAAACAGAGCAATGTAATACAATACACTATTAGACATTTATTTTAAAAAATAAATAAAAAGTCCATCCTATGTGTTAGTTTTTTTTATATTTTAGGCAGGAAATGAGTTTTCAAATTTAGATTTTTTTTTTCTGGGGGGGGGACCCCCTGGAAGATTTGGTCCCCCCAATGTTGACTCCATGGCTAAGGCCTTGCTCCACACGAAGCCCCGGGTCTTCTCGGCCACAGGGTTGTGCCCTCCTTTCTCTACGCTTGCGAAACGTGGAACCCCTCCGAATGAACATCTGCACCGGCTCTGAAACATTCAAAACTGCCTGCCTTACGATCCGCCCTGACTTTCACCAGACTGGCTCGTGTGAGGAGCTCACACATCCTTAAAAGACACCTGGACAACAATCCTATCAGCGAGCTCCTCCGGCAGGCGAGGCTGCATTGGTTGGTGCCATGTCACCTACAGGCCCAGCCACTGCATGCCCAAGCAGCTTCCGTTTGACCAGATAGAGGGGGCTCATCGGGCGAGAGGATATATGGACTGATGTGGTACAGGAGGATGTGGAGTTGAGTGGAATTGCCGATGGCTGGTACCAGCAGTGTCAAGATCGGCTCGTGAAGGACGCTGCTGCTGCTACTGGGCAATTGGAGGCAGTCGCCTTCCAGCAACAACGGAGGGCAGAGGAGCGCCGCTCACAACGACGAGCGGAGAGCCGTGCGCTCAACACACAGCAAGGTGGCACAAGTGGTGAGCACAGGTGTCTTAGTCGAACCATGACATCTGGGTCTGTCCTGTGACCTGTCAGCGAGCCTTCCACACGTCACCTGATAGCCTCAAAGTGCACCTAGCCTGGCACAAGCGCTGCGGCAACATCGCTAAGCAACGAGTGGCAAATGGCGACTGCTGCTGTTGTTGTTGTTGTTGTGAAGCAGGCGGGGGAGGAGGAAGTGGTGGAGGAAGACGAGCAGCAGCAGCAGGAGCAGCAGGAGGAGGAGGACGTGTCGGCACAGACCGAGCGCTACTTCCGCACGGAGCTCATCCAGAAGCGCAATGAGCGTATGGGGCGACGCGTGGCGGCCCTCCTGCACGCTCACCCCTCCTCCACCCTCTTCTTCGCCTTCGGGGCAGGTACGTGCTGGCCAGCCGGGGTGCAGGCGGTGCAACTGCCCCCCCCCCTCCCCCAACCGGGCTGGTGGGGCCCAGGTAACAAGGGTGGCACAGTCGGGTTTTTTACAATCGGGTTTAATTGTCTTTTTATATTAAACCCGATCATCTGAGATTGGGAGATATCCGGTTTTATTGGTTATAAAAAAAAACCGATGCCTGCCGCTGGAAAAATCGGGTTTTTTCCACCCATGCCAGGTAATGGTTGCCACCTGCCCTGGTTTGCCCAGTATTGACGACGGGTCAGATACCCGTACGACCGCCGCGGTTAATATAAACTAAGCCTAACAAGTTTCAATCTTGATTTGAAGCTTTCGTGACTGCAGCAATCCATACTCTTTGGTTCTTTCGGTAAAATCACGTAGATATAACATTTAAATAAATCACGACGTTTCGGGCGGCGCAACACAAGCGTCCGTCATCAGGTGGGAAAGCATGGCCTGCTGCTGCTGAGGCAGACTGTTTTAAAAGGTTTGAAATGGGTGTAGCCCAAGGGTCATAAAGAAGTGGCCGGGGCTAGTGATGTTACTGTGAGAAATTAGCATGTAGCTGTAAGATAGGAGGAGAGCGGCCTCCTGGACGAGGGCACGGAAGTGGCTATGTTAATGTGAGAGATTAGCATGATGTTAATGTGAGAGATTAGCATGATGTTAACGTGAGAGATTAGCATGATGTTAATGTCAGAGATTAGCATGATGTTAATAATGAGAGATTAGCATGATGTTAATGTGAGAGATTAGCATTATGTTAATGTGAGAGAATAGCATGATGTTAGTGTTTTATTTCACCAGGTAAGGCCCACTGAGCTATTTAGCTCTTTTTCAGATGCCACCTGGTTATCACAAATGATTGCTCAACGAAGCGGCTTCTCACGTGGACACGTATGGCAGCCAAATGCTCTAAACACGTGGCGTTGATTCGAAATGTGGAGGGAAAATCGGAGGATCCGGAGATAAAAATCCACGCGACCACAGGGAGAACGTGCAGAGTATAAATATACAGCAGGCGTCGGGGCTAGGATGGAACCCAAGACCTCCTGTATACCAGGCGAGGCAGTGCACATCCCGCTACTGTGCTGCGCTTTGTGGGTGCAAAAGAGAATTTGATTATAAATACTGTGGGGGGGGGGGGGTGGCACGTGCCCCCCCCCCCCAATGATCCGATCGAAATCCATAATTTCGATCGGATCATTGGGGTTTATTAGTAATAAATCGGCATTTTGCGACCCCCACTGCCACCGTGTAGCATATTATTACGTGCCAGGGGCTCTATGAGATGATAGGACAATAGTCTGAGTCCATAATTGGCAATAAGTAACGGCAAAGCGGTTATGAGTGACTCACAGAATTGTGCGTAGTTGCGTATACAGCACACGACTTCCCTGAAGGCATCAACAGCTTCAGCGAGCGCGATGCCGATCACACAACGCGGTTCGAATTCGATCCTCGATCGACGGCTGCTCCATCGCGGAACACACGTCGAATAAAAAGCAAGGGACAAGTCCTTACTTACTAACAACTCCTCTATTATTTCTCATTGCTGGAGGGGTTGCCCCCCCTACCTGAACATCCTGGCTCCGCCATTGATTATAAACATTATATTTATAAAAAAGAAAATACAATTAAGGAAAAGTTTTTCCAGAGCATTTAGGTGGGACTCATCTCCTGTTAAAATAAAATTTCGCTCTCAAGATGTTTTGCTAAGGGTGACATACACAGCGTTGGAAATGCCGTATTGTTCAGACTATGAGACACACTCTTCTCTGCGTTCTGCAGAACATTTTGGGGCTGCATATGAACACATTCCTGCGGAGGGAGCTGGTAGGAACGTTGGGTTGCTTGGTCAATGGCCAGGGTCAATGGCGGCGTGGTGTATTCCGCAAATATGCCCGACTGTGAGGGCGGGCACAAGTAGGCGTGAGTAGGTTAAACGTTGAGTTTTATAAGGGCACCACGGGGTGACCAGCCCCTCCCCACCCAGCCCCACCCTCCCACCCTCCCCACCTAGCCCCTCCCCACCCTCCCGACCCAGCCCCTCCCCACCCAGCCCCTCCCTGCACGATGGACACAATAATCCCCTGTGGGCTGGTGTAACCAGGAGGTTACAACCAGTATAATCCATTATCAGTGTGCGTTGTGTGTGGTGTGTTTGCGTATGTTGGTGTGGAGAGCGGTAGTGAAGTGGTTTGCGCTCTGCAAGTTCGATCGTCACCGGCGTTTGCTCGCAGCCAACACCGGTGACGATTATCTTCATCGGTCCCGGGCTTCCGCGAAGGGGGCCGTCCAAAAATGACGTCACGCACCTAGGGGGGGGGGGGGGTCAGACATTTGTGACGAGGGGGGAGGGGGTGTGTGAGAAATGTGACGTCACATCAAAATGCGCGACTTTAAATAAATATAGACAACACGTTCTACTTAATTAAATAGACTTTTTAATAAATGTTTTCTCCTACAACATCAGAGTGCAGCGCCACATTAAATACGCACTACAATGACAATAGTTTAAAGCGATTTGAAGCATGTTTTATTTTTTTTGGGGGAGGGGGGGCAGAGCTTTGTGACGTCATATTTGAGGGGGGGGGGTCTGACTTTTTGTGACGCCGTGTGACGAAGGCGGGGGGGGGTCAAAAATCGTCCAAAATCGCGTGACGTCATGTATGGACGGCCCCTAGGTAGACTCAGCCTTAAATGGTGTAACGTGGAGCACAATGTAAACATCAGCAACTCTGGCCACCCATCCCGTCGCGCGCCACTCCGGACACGCGTGTACGTTGGAACTTCTTTCGCACCGTACGCTGAACGCCGTGCTGACCGGCGGCCTTTGTAGGCGATGTCGGGCAGCGTTCGCCCCCCGCCGGTTCTGTCGAGGACGCGGGGGTTGGCGTCGGCACGCGGCTCTCGAAGCGCCGCGCGCGTGACGTCGTTCGTCAAGCAGCAACGTCTCGGATTCGCACGCGCACACACACAGTGCGTGAGTGTGTGTGAATCACACGCACTGTGTGTGTGTGAATCACACACACACAGTGCGTGAGTGTGTGTGAATCACACGCACTGTGTGTGAATCACACACACAGTGCGTGAGTGTGTGTGAATTACACGCACTGTGTGTGTGAATCACACACACAGTGCGTGAGTGTGTGTCAATCACACGCACTGTGTGTGTGTGAATCACACACACAGTGCGTGAGTGTGTGTGAATCACACGCACTGTGTGTGTGAATCACACACACACAGTGCGTAAGTGTGAATCACTCACACACAGTGTGTGAGTGATTCACACACACACAGTGCGTGAGTGTGAATCACACGCACTGTGTGTGAATCACACACACACACAGTGCGTGAGTGTGAATCACTCACACACAGTGTGTGAGTGATTCACACGCACAGTGTGTGAGTGATTCACACACACACAGTGCGTGAGTGTGAATCACACGCACTGTGTGTGATACACACACACACACAGTGCGTGAGTGTGAATCACTCACACACAGTGTGTGAGTGATTCACACGCACAGTGTGTGAGTGTGAATCACACGCACTGTGTGAATCACACACACACAGTGCGTGAGTGTGAATCACACGCATTGTGTGTGTGATACACACACACACAGTGCGTGAGTGATTCACACGCACAGTGCGTGAGTGATTCACACACACACAGTGCGTGAGTGTGAATCACACGCACTGTGTGTGAATCACACACACACAGTGCGTGAGTGTGAATCACACGTACTGTGTGTGAATCACACACACAGTGCGTGAGTGTGAATCACACGCACTGTGTGATTCACACGCACAGTGCGTGAGTGATTCACACACACACAGTGCGTGAGTGTGAATCACACGCACTGTGTGTGAATCACACACACACAGTGCGTGAGTGTGAATCACACGCACTGTGTGTGAATCACACACAGTGCGTGAGTGTGAATCACACGCACTGTGTGTGAATCACACACACACAGTGCGTGAGTGTGAATCACACGTACTGTGTGTGAATCACACACACACAGTGCGTGAGTGTGAATCACACGCACTGTGTGATTCACACGCACAGTGCGTGAGTGATTCACACACACACAGTGCGTGAGTGTGAATCACACGCACTGTGTGTGAATCACACACACACAGTGCGTGAGTGTGAATCACACGCACTGTGTGTGAATCACACACACACAGTGCGTGAGTGTGAATCACACGTACTGTGTGTGAATCACACACACACAGTGCGTGAGTGTGAATCACACGCACTGTGTGTGAATCACACACACACAGTGCGTGAGTGTGAATCACACGCACTGTGTGTGAATCACACACACACAGTGCGTGAGTGTGAATCACACGCACTGTGTGTGTGAATCACACACACAGTGCGTGAGTGTGAATCACACGTACTGTGTGTGAATCACACACACACAGTGCGTGAGTGTGAATCACACGCACTGTGTGAATCACACACACAGTGCGTGAGTGTGAATCACACGTACTGTGTGTGAATCACACACACACAGTGCGTGAGTGTGAATCACACGCACTGTGTGTGAATCACACACACAGTGCGTGAGTGTGAATCACACGCACTGTGTGTGAATCACACACAGTGCGTGAATGTGAATCACACGTACTGTGTGTGAATCACACACACACAGTGCGTGAGTGTGAATCACACGTACTGTGTGTGAATCACACACACACAGTGCGTGAGTGTGAATCACACGCACTGTGTGTGAATCACACACACACAGTGCGTGAGTGTGAATCACACGCACTGTGTGTGAATCACACACAGTGCGTGAATGTGAATCACACGTACTGTGTGTGAATCACACACACACAGTGCGTGAGTGTGAATCACACGCACTGTGTGTGAATCACACACACACAGTGCGTGAGTGTGAATCACACGCACTGTGTGTGAATCACACACACACAGTGCGTGAGTGTGAATCACACGTACTGTGT